CTCTAGGCGAATTGTTTAAACACAATTATTATTCAAACGGTACAATTATAAACAAAAGCAAAATTACTACAAACAACTACAAACGATTCTGAAGCACATAGAAAAAAACAGATTTGGGAAATTTTAATAATTAACAAAGTGAACTCTTAGCGAATTGTTTAAATAATCGTAACTTTTAAACGATATAACTACAAACAAAAGTAAAATCACTACAAATAACTACAAACGATTCTGAATCATATAGAACAAACAAAATTAAGAAATCTTGATAATTAACAAAGTTAACAGTTGGCGAACTGTTCACACGCAACTATTACGCAAACGGTACAACTACAAACAAAAGTAAATTCACTACAATTAACTACAAACAAAATACTATTATTTTCTGTATTGAAAAATCATTTTTTTTTAAGTGGGGTTCCAGGTTCACATATCTACGCGGGCGGGCCGTCTGAAATGAACGCAACGACGCCTCTATATCAAGGATATAAACGTTCTCAGATGACGTCGTCGGCACCTAGAAAAGACGTTAGTCACGTTAAAATGGCAGGCAACGTGAGGTGTCACGTCCGCGTAGCGGCCTATATGAAAACTGAGGTTAACAGACTTACGTATCGTAACGTAACGCAACTGAAGATAAGAGCAGAACTATATTCAGGCGTACGGGATTACTTAGATACGCGAGAACAAACGGAAGGACGTAAAGCTGGTATACCAGTACGCGTATCATCATCCGTTCGGGGAAGTCCAAGAAATATGCAAGAAAGATATCAAGCGGCACGGTTTATGGTAAGAAAGTTTGAGAAACCAGACCGCTTTTTAACAGTGACCGGCACGCCACAGTCTCCGTCACGTAAGGAAAATCTTGCGGGCGGTCAAGTAGACGATCGTCCAGATTTAGTAGCAAAAATCTTTAACTTGGATGTAAAAGAACTGCGGAGAGATCTACGGCAAAAGGAACGTTTCGGAAAACACCGAGCTTATGTAGGTGTACGTGAGTTCCAAAAAAGAGGCGTACCACCGTTGCCGTTACTTGCACGGTTAGGTGCGGAAAAAAAGCCAAAGCCGGAAAAACGTCGAGATAAGATGGTATGGACTGAAATCCCTGATGAAGAAAGGTCGCCAGAGCTTACGGCACGGGTTTTAAGGCATATGCGTCACGGATCATGTAGCGACAGATCGAGAAGATATCTTTGCATAAGGAAAGATGGAAAGTGTACAAAAGGCTATCCAAAAAACGTTAGAGAGGAAACAGAAGCAACGGAGACGGACGATCTTATGTATCAAAGAAGGACGATAGGGAAAAAATACAGAGTAAGAGGAAAAAAACGTACGACGCGCGGGGTAGTGCCCTCGTCGCCATATTTGTTACGGAACGATGATCGGCACCGGACGTTGGAAATATGTTCATCAGTAAAGAGTGTTGACGACTTCGACAAGTACATTCACAAAGGATTTGCGTGTGCTGCACGTAAGGTGCAAACAAGAGACGGAACGAGACTACGTAAAATAGATAAGGTAAACGCCGTCATGGATGCAAGTGATGTTGGTACACCAGAAGCACGGTGGAGACTGAACGGACATGAACAGTTTATGAAGTCTCCGACAGTACGAAGACTGGCAGTTCCGTTGCCTACGCGTCAACGGATATATTTCAAAGAGGGAACGGAAGAGCAAGCAGCACAAAGTGCGCAGAAAAGGGACACTAAACTTACTGCATGGTTTAACGTGACGCAAGATGATGAAAAAACGAAACCGTTCGTCGACGCAGAGCGTGCGTCACACATGGTGTATGAAAAGAAAGAAGCAAACGGGAAACTACGTCAAAAAGGAACAGAAAAGATCCGTTCCAGATTCGATACAGTAAGCATAAAAGATACGGAAAGATATTATCTACGCGTGCTTCTTCTACATATTAAGGGAACTAAATGTTACGAGACGTTGAGAACTGTCAACGGAGTTCTTTCGGAGACGTTCAAGGCGGCGACAAAAACAAGGACGTTGCGAGACGCAGATGATCACGGGGGCAAAACGCTAGAAGAAGTGAAAGAGAGTCAACGGCCTGCACAACGTAGAGAGCTCGTTGCTTATATTTGCATATATGGAACACCTACAGATGTACCAACACTTTGGACGAAATATAAAGACGCCCGGCGTGAAGATTATGTACACAGAACGCGGGATACGTCAGAAAATATAGCTTAGACGTGTATCGCGGAACGACGGGAACTAGCTGTGTTAACTTCAACGTGCCAAAACCAAAGCCAGTGAAACGTACTAAACGAGACGCGGCGTTAGATGAGGAAAGAAGTAGAGGAGAAGATTTTGTGTTGACCGTAACGGCAGAGCAAAAGCACGTGTACGCGTTAGTACGGCGAGTACGTGAAAATGAAACGGAAGTCAAAAGGTTATTTTTTATAGACGGCGTTGCAGGAAGTGAAAAAAACAGGCCAAGCAGCAACACTTTTAAAGGGAGGAAGAACATATCATAGTCTGTTGAAACTAACACGACCACGAGATGAAACAACGAACGCAAATATCAGAGGAAACACGCAGAAAGCAAGAGACGTACGCTTTGCAAACGTACGACGATGGGATGAAGTAAGCCGGACTGTAGAACAAGCAGTCGATAACGTCGTAAGAGATTTGATAAGGACGACAAAACCATTTGGAGCAAAAGTACGTCTTTTTGTAGGAGACTTGAGACAAACGTTACTTGTAGTGGCTCATGCAAAACAGAACAGCTCGACGTGAGTCAACTGTAAAACACACGCTACAATGGAAGAAAATACGTCAACGTAAACTTAAGGAAAATATGAGAATAGGGAAGGAAAGAGACGTTGCAACGTGGCTACTGTCACGTCTGACGGTATAATCACCGCTATATTCCACCCGCATAAAT